ATGTCGAAAATATGTGTTCAGATACAATAAAGAACTGATTTGTTAGATGTGCGATTAGTCCCATTCTAACGAAACAACCGATTAAATACTTCAAAGTAGTTGAAACTTTGCATTGTATATTTTATGATTACGCGCATTAATCCAAAGCCATTCTTTCCATATATACACTGGCAAATTAAAAGGCCTACCATGCGAGGTAAATGCTTATGGCTTAAAAACAATATACAGTGTGTCTACGAGATCGCGCAACAGTCATGGCGAAATGTTACTTGATGGTTAGCATATATTTGGAAACGTTATCTTGATGCACTGAGGGGACCTAATCCTGGGAAAGACTTTTTCTCAGGACAACCGGCCGATTGGTGAAGTATATTGAGGGAATTTTGCATCAATTCTGGTGAAATTAGGAGCAGTCTTATATCAAATACATGTTCCATGCTATTAAGTAGAACAAAATCAAGGTTTTTATAACTATGCATTTTGCTATGGCAGAAGCCCAAAATATGTATGGGGCATTTAAAACATATCCGTTTCAAAACCAAAAATATTACTCTGAATGTGCTCAAATGCATTTCAATCCAATTTTAGCAAATCATATTATTTCTAGAAACAAGAAACAATATCAGTCTCAAAAATATTTTTCCTAAAAGTGAAGTTTTTGCCACAAAATAGAGTCAAAAGATTTTGAGCTTAGCTTTTACCGCATCAAACTTAAGAAGTGCGTAAACGAAGCTGTTAATATTTTATCGCAAAGGTTGGGGTTAGATCAAATTTTAATTAATCTAAATCTAATAATAATTTTAATCAATAGTAATTTCAAATGACAGTAATGTCAAAATCTGGTCAAAATCTTGCTATATATGGCCACTCTTTTGTGCATTTGCAAGCTTACAAAAGAGCCCGAAAGTAATCCTCTATGGCCTAGAATGATCAAATATAAGCAGAAACGTGAGCCCTCTCATTTGGAGTAAAATGAAGATCACTAATCGTCAGGTAAATTAAAAAAGCTTGCCA